TTCGGGTTCTCATTTTCGTTGTTGGTGTTTCCGACAGGGTAGGAGTGTGATGTAATGTGGAACGATTTTCCGTCATCCCTTGTCAAATTTGGTTTGGAGACAAACCGGTTTCGGCGTTGTGCCATCTTCAGTGTCATTTTTCGTTCTGAATAGTTTATGTTTGTCTGTCACTATTTATAGCCNTCTATGCTTAAGTGCACATTTAAGATACCTACCCCAAAATGCGCATCAGAGGCATTATTTTTAACATTTATAAGGAAACGGCTCCGATAGATGCATTTAGCATACCTGCACATTGGCGATACCTGCCTTAAAAATTGTGCGACTAGTATCAATTATCAAAGAAAGTATTACGTTTACCTGCACTGGCCCTACAATTACCTAATTTTACAACTTTTTATTTATTTTGTTCATCTCGCAGAGCAACGAAAATGGCTATAAATTTATGTAGTTATTTAGATAATTAGAATCGGTAAAAATTTCGCTTGCAGTAATTTCTACGTGGTAAGTGCTCCGCCACTATTTGGTTTCGTAGGTATTCGGATACCTTCCTCATTGAAGTAGTAAAGAAAATTCTCTTAGGTGCCTTTTTCGGTTAAGTGCACAAGTTTTTCGTGCAAAGAAGGATGCTCAGCTAAGCAAAATATACTGTAGTTGCAGGATTTCTGTTTTTTTGCGTATAATAGCCTGAGTGGTTCGAATAATATATCAGATGCGGTGTTTATTTGCTCATTTATTCTTTTTCCGACGAACTTCTTTTGTTTGTATATCTCCATATTCTCTAATACGCTTAGGCGTTGTCCTTTGTGCTGTACGTGGAGAACTTTGGCTGTCTTTCCTATTTTCACTGGCGTACAATGGTTTTCTGCCATATGGTTTGCGAAGTTCGATTCCGGGGTGGTAGAAGGTTTTAGCAATTTTTTGTTGTAGTCCCTTATATGTTCACGATATCTTGTTTTAACCTTGCGCCCTGTTTGTCCTATGTAACTATGTTGACATTCGCAAGTCAACTTATATACACCTTGCTTGTCTAGTGGGTCTTCCTCGTTTGCACTATTTCGTAGTATCCTCCCCACGTTGTCCTTCGTTCTAAATGCTGTATTAATGTTATACTTTTGGAATACCTTAGCCAATTTATATGAAGTTTTGTCCGTATAAGTAAAGACTGCCAAAGCCTTTTCATTATTTTCCTTCTTATTTGATTTCTTCGTTTTGGTTTCTCTTCTTATCTTGTTTACTAGGCCCTTTCTGTATCCGTCGGGTTGTTCACTGGCAGATTAAGTACTCCGTCTCGACGCGAATACCCTGATAGACTCTGATTTCTTTCGCCCTAGCGATAAAAAGGGTTTCCGTGCATTTCGTAGGGGAGAGGGTTAGGCTTCTTGTAGTGAAGAAAAGAGAAAGATAGAGTAGATATCCATTTCCTTTTAAGCAAAGGTGACTACCGTTTGAGTCTCTCTGGGAGAGAGGAGACCTTGATGTCTTCTAGAAGCATGAAATGACAAATGGTTTCAAATCCCTGTGACAGGTCCAACGCTACTAGGACTGCTCTCTCACAGGGGTGGTCACGGTTAGTACCATGAGGTACATATCTGCGGGGTAAGGTGTTTGTCTGGCGAGAGTGTATGTATGTATATTAATTTGTACTTCGTCATTTTATTTTTAATCGACTTCAAAATAGGAGTAATAACCTCCTCTCAACTCTACTAATGTACTAAGTACCAGTTGGTTAAGGAGATTAATCAAACATCGATCAAAGATTTCACTTAATTTAGAACACTGTACAAGTCGTATTGCTGGCAGCTACTGCGAACCAAGATATTTTACCACAGAAATCTACACTCACTGAGTAGTCAGGTGTAGAGATTAATAGCGAAATCGAAACACCCACATCTCACCCGCCCCATACGTAAAACCCACTTGTCGACAATTTTGCTTTACAAAACGTACACCACATATGGATCATATATATGCATACATATGCATCAAACAAGAAGTACAAGGAACAACTAGCAAAGGGGGAGTATGAAAACGTTAACGACGTCTGTGAAATTTATACGTGTATATGTATTGGGATGGATCACTCTCCATAAAAAAAAATCCGTGCTGTTTTACAATCGGAATTATAAATAATATTATATTTTAAAACCTCCACCAAAATATTTCGCAAAAATTATAAAAATGACGTGAGCTGAACCGATTCGAGAATTCCTCCAAAAATCTACTCTTTTGTAAATAATATTTTTTTAACAAAACAACTCAGTCGATAGAAAGCTGGAAAGCTCTGCATAAAAATGTTAAAAAAAAATTCCCTTTTTATTTGTTGCGGCACCCTAATGTACATACATTCATGGATATATGTTTGTGTGTATGCAGCTACCTATGATTATATACATATGTAATAGAGTGCAATAATATCCATAATATAATAATGATATTTTGGTGCTTGTGTACACTTATGCTATGTGTTTGGCCGAGCTTCCCCTCCAATTTGTGGTAATTTTACGCCGCGCCGCCTCTCAACGGCAAATGGATTTTATGAGAATCTCTTTCATGGCAGGAATACACTGGCAGGCTTGCCATTGCCTGCCGAGGGGTAAGCGCTGTTAGAAATAACTTTTTCTAATTTAGATGTTGCTCGGACCAGGCATCGTACTTAGGTACTGCGGAGTCGTAGTACGCACCTCTAACCACTCAGCCACAGTCGCCGTAATGTCCATACTTACATATATATAAATATGTATGTATGAGTGCGCACGTATACACGTATGTATGTGTCTAATATACCCTGCAGAAAAAAAGTATCAATTGATAAAAAATAACCCACTTGTAGTTAGCTTTTTTGCGGGATTTCTAAAAAATATATAAATTGTAGTTAGCTACAAAACTCTAACTTGAAACTAGTTGACAAGTAATGCAGGAGTAATGAAGGAGATTGTTTTCTTTAAGCGCGTTTCTATTTAAATATCCTGCACTTCGCAAATACTTTTTCGAATTGAGAACAAATAAAAGGAAGATCGAAATTTCATATTATCATATTGAAGTTATGTCTGACGGAGTTCGAATATGGGATCACCTACAGCAGAATATGTAAACAAATATGAAATGCAATAAAATAAATAAAGTAAATGAAAATAAAAAAATAAAAAAAATTAATTTTTTAATATTTTGTTTTTCCTATTGATATTTTATGTCCAAAAGTAGTTAGTTACAAGTTAGTTACATCAAATGCAGAGGTAACCACCCTTAACTACATCTAATACACAGGTAAACCACCACCATTTCCTGCTGGGTATCAACACCACGCAGCTGTGTGGAATAAGCGGGTGTAATGGGAATAATTGTTGACATGTATGTATGTATATCCTCTTGCGGTTGCAATGTGACCGAATTGTTCTAATTTAGCGGAAGAAAACACACAACCCGCCCGCATCATCGTCCCAGCTCACCGCTTCACTGAGAATCGTAGCGCTTGATTTGATTTATTTATTTTTGTTGTTGTTGTTTTTTTTTATGAATAGCTTTCAATTGACTAACTTACTCTTTGGTATGCAGGCGTCAATAGTCTATGACTTTTGCTGTGTCCTGAAGTGGCACAAACTTACGAACGTTGTGTGTGTGTGTATGTGTTTGTCAAGTGTTGCAGCGGTTGAACTAAAAACGTGACCACTGTCAACCGGCTGGTCACATGGACTTCTCGTATTTATTTACTTTTCGCAACCACGTCAATGCATTGGAAAAAGAAATGAAAGTTCCCACATATGTACATACATATGTATGCGTATAAAAATGCATACATATGTGTGTATACGTAGTTGGTAAATCTAATTTGGTCGATGGAAAAAAAACGGCCGGTGTTGGCTTTGCAGGGTACTTAGAAAGCACTACGGCCATTAGGCGTGCTTTCCTCAGCAAGTTGCATAGATCTGCAAGGTGATACTAAAGAAAATCAGGATCAGTTAGAACTTACCACTTACACTTCCTACTTAGCGAAGCCTCATTGCTCCCCATCAGCGGAACATAATTGTATGCATACCAAACAATCCTACTCGGCTGCTACCGTGAATGCCGTCAATAAAGTTCAAACACCAGCAAACAAAGACGAAAAGCTTTAGCTGCTTCAAATGACCCACGAAGGCGTAAGTCTAAACTAACGGGCACATCGGGTTTAGAAGTTCTTTAAGCCATTTAGATTTTCTTTCTTGTCTTTTCCATCAACGAGAGCTTAGCGATAAGCATTGATGTCCCACCTGGCGCCTTGCTCACAGCGCCGCGTTGGCGATAATTGGGACTGCCAAGCTTTCAAGGACATTCGGGGAGGTTGTCGTTAGGGAAGGTAAAATTGTATATGCACTCCACACCACCATTGCATCTCCTACGAAGGTCGTCTCCGATATACCGAATATACTTACTTCCGGCTGTTGAAGACACCCAACAAAGCACCAAGCAAATCTTCACTTGCCCTCCTTAAAACTACTCAGCTAATCCCTTTTCTTTCAACACATAGGCTTGGCTGATTTATAAACTAGGTAATTTAGGTAGGTGCTATTTGTTGTTCCGCTACAACAACAACATTACTAACCTATGCACAGTAGGCACTGCAAATGAGTGCTTGACAATCAAAAAAATTTTATTGGAAAGGTTAAGAAATGCATTAGGAAGAGTAGCTTTAGTGAATTACCACATTCACGACCAAAACTAATTTTTCACCCCACAGTTTGAAAAATACATATTTTTTTTTTTATGAGAAAATAAGTGAATTATTCACGACTTTACTGTAATTTAAGGACCGCTAGTGTTGTAACACCTACGGCTCGCCAGGATAAATTTTTTATTTTTTTTCTTCTTTTTCCTTGGCCATTCTCTGCGTCAAACATCAAACTGATCCCTTTCTTCATTCCGTGTGTATTTGGTAAAATTGGTGTTACTCTAAACTTGCAATAATATTCGAAAAGAATTTAGTCATTTGACTCTGCATTTCTTAGTTTGTGGAAACTTACAATATTCTTTACTTCATGAGAATTTTGCTCATAATTCGATGGTTTAGGGTATTTCTTACGCGATTTTATTTATTAGGACATTTTCTAAATTTGAATTTCGCACAGAGGAAAGGCATTTTTTGTCCAATGTGCAATGCACGAACTTCTATGAAAATAAGAAAAGATGAGGGTAGACACTGAAAAAATACTTGTTAAAAGTCTTTGATGAAAGTTATTAATAAATATACTACAATTCATAAAAGAAAACGTTTGGCACTTAATATAACTCAAGATCCATCTGTAAAAATTTCACTAGAATTCATTCAAAGTTTTCCACAAAGCAAAATTAATTCACATCATTTATTTGTAATTGTTTTTTCTTTTTCACCAAAATATGAATGGCGTTAGAGTGAATGAACCAAATCCATAGCCATAAGAATAACCCAATGGATAAGGATTAGCTGGATATAGCGATGGCGCCGGTGGAGTATCCCGATAATAAGGCAAGCCAGTTGGCGTTGGATAGTAGGAACCACGATATGCAAAACCAGCCGTAACGATAGGCACAGCCAGAGCTAATTCGATGGCGCATATAAGGCCAAAAAGCAACAAAACCTAAAAGAAAAAAAAGAGTAAATATTTACAAAATATGGAAAACGGTATGCAATAAATATGTATATGCTTCAATAAAAATAGTATCAGCAGCACAAAACACTATTGCCCTTAACTCACTCACTCACTCGCTCACTCACCCACTGCATCCAAGTGCGCATTTTATAAATGCCCAACACCGGCAGTTGTTTATATACTCACTGCGTTGCTGCTTGGCTTGGCCCTTTTTATTGCACTTTTGCAATGGCAACCAGGCTAATGAAGGTGCACTTAAATTAAAAACCAGATATGAGGAGTTTTTTACTCAAATGGACATGTTTACAAAATGCACTCTTCTGCGGACAACTCACTTGCCACTACACTTTTCTTGTGCAGCTTATTATTTTTATTTTATTTATTTTTTTCAATACATATAACCAGTTTTGAGTCGTTTTTGATTGGATTTCTCTTAGCCCTTTTGATTTCATTTTTATTTTTATTTGTGTTATTACCTAAATACATACATATAAAAGAGTCACAACTCAAAATAATACGTTCGTCAGAAAATGCGAAAAACTATTTCGTACCACATGCTAATCATATGGGCAAGGGCGACTTTACCTTAGGTTTTTTTTAAACAAATTATAACAAAGATTTGCTCCAGCTTTTGCTGAAAGGTAAATAAAAGCTCTGTGTACATTTTTAGCGCATAATTTCAAAAATGCCAAATTTTGAGTTGTGACTCTTTTGAAGACGGTGTGCGATATAAGTATGAGAACACATGGTTTGCAAGGTACACAATTAAGTACTTGTCCTTGAACTTGATGCACAGTGAGATTCTCCGAATTATAACAGCATGGCAAGTCCAACTTATTTGGTATTCTTTTAAGCTGGGAGAATTTCCAAAAAAAATTTGTAAAAAGATAGAATAGATAGACTATTTCGATAACAAATCATAACACTACACCTGTTTTGTGTTTATTATAGAAATAAAAGAGTGTCGCCTCAAAATGCCTAACGGAAGGGACCTGCAGTTTCAGCCACTTCTGAGTGCAGGGTAGTTTCCATGAGAAGCTTTTAAATGGAAAAAAATACAAATAGGGATCGCGAGGATTTAGTACCGTGAGTCAAGAGAAACGAAGTGCTACGGTAGAACGTAATTCCGGGCATTAGGCTATGGCGTTCGAAATTCCAAATACGACTGTGAAAGTTCAGTGAGAGCGGAGGCCCATTTCTTTGCGTTGGGATTGGGTTATTGAGTTAAAGATTAGCCAATCTATGAGTTTTAATATTATCGGGTACAACAAGCCTATATTGAGAGAGACAGAGAGAGATAGCGGGAAAGAGGTGTGAGGGAAGGCAGATGAGCTGGTAGAGCAAAAATAATTTCTTTTGCGACACTCCATTGAGACTGTCCGGCTGGTTCCAGTGCAAGGGATACCTTTGCAAGAATTCATTCTTGCATTGGATGCACAAAGTTGCTTGCTGCGAAGTACAAAAATTTAGGAGACTCAACCTATTTAGTTCTTTAGCGGATTTTAAAGAATTTCTGGAACTATTCCGTATGCTCTGTGTTTTATTTTTTTGGGGATTTTAGAGACTTTTTGCGAATTTTCAAGATTTTTTTCGCGTTTTTTCGGGACCTCTCGGGATTTTTCGGGTTATTCGAAACTTTTCGGCCTGTTTTTTTCGCGACATTAGCGAAATTTTTTTTTAAAACATTTAGCAATAAAAATGGAACTTTAAGGCCCGCATCTATTTTTGAGACCTTTCGGCTTCTTTGTGTGCTTTGTGTTGTGTAAATTTTTCAGAAGCTTTTGCGTCCATATATATTTTTCGGTAATTTTAGAGACTTTTCGGGTTTTTTTCGGGACCGTTATAAGTTTTTTAGAAACATTTGCGTCAAAATTTGTTTTTTGAGACAGTTTCGAAACTTTTTGGAACGTTTAGGAATAAGTATGGAACTTGAGGCCCACATCTATTTTTTGAGAGTTTTTGAGGCCTTTGGGTTGTTTTCTGGGATCCCGGTTCTATTTTTTTCGGGAGCGTTGTGAATTTCTCAGAAACTTTTGCGTTCACATTTATTTTCCGGGATTTTTCGAAACTATTTGTTTTGTGTTTTTGGGACAGTTGCGAAATATTTAGGGATCGGGTTTTTTGAAACCTTTGTGAATTTTTCCACTTTTGCGACCACAGTTCTTTAGCGATAGTTTTGGATAGTCGTAGTTCTTTTTACCGCCTCGAATGTTTTCGAGACCATTAGGAATTAGGGTGGAACATTCAGAACCATTTTTTTATAATTTTTTTTTGAGATTTTTCAAGACCCTTGGGTTGCTTTCTGGTTTTTCGGGACCGTTCCGGATTTTTTGGGGACCGCTGGAGTTTTTTAGAACTATTTTATGAACTTTTAGCTTCCAATTTATTTTCGGAACATTTAAGTTGTATTTTGGGGGTTTATTCGGGCAGTTTTCGCTATTTTCCAAAAATTTGCGGGACCGTTGTGGGCTGTCCTTTCTGAACCGTTACGAAACAATTTTTTTAGACCGTTAGAAATTTTTTTGGAACTTTGTGGGCCGATGTAGATTTTTCAGACTCTTAGCGTCCACAATTTATTTTGGTAGTTTTGGAGACTTTTCGGGCTTCATTTTTGACCGTTCTGAATTTTTCGCGATATAATTGCCCTTAACTTGACTTTTTAAAAATTCCTAAAAATTCAAAAGCAAAAATTCTGGTTATTTTGTGCTGAAAAATATACAAAACAAACAATAAGCTTCCGGAAACATTTACGTACATAATTTTAAACACTTAAATTATTTAATGTTTCACCAATTTGTCAGGTTATTGTAATCTAAAGGGATTTCCTATACTATTGTACAAAATTTTCCGTAAATATTTTGAGATTTCATTCATACAATTGCTAATATTGCCAAAATTAGGCATATCAAACCATCAAAACCTGTCCTCACTCGTACGTAAAAAACCGCCTACGCTTATGATTACAAAAACCCACAAATGCAACGAAAGCATGCCGCATATTCGTTTGGATGTGCATTAGGGTGGTCCGAAAACAGTAAAGTCGGAATTGTAATGCTCTCACCGCCTTGAATTGTTCTATATTGAAAAAAAGTATACCCCTACTTTTTTATTTTGAAGTCAAAAAATATTTAGAGGTCGCACAAAGCACTCAAAGTATCAAATATTGATTTTTAAGAATCAATACCATTTATACAAAAAATTAGTTGTTCCCCATATAAAATACATGGAAAACTTTGAGCGCTTGGAGCACTCCCTAAATATTTTTTGATTTCAAAATAAAAAATAAGGTATATTTTTCTCGGTATAGAACCATCGTAGGGAGTGAAACCATAAAAATTCCGACTTTGCTTTTTCACATGCATTTTTTTTTACCGCCCTAATGTGCATGTATGTTTATATATTTACATGCAAAACCGTGACTGCTTGCCGTCGATCTGCCACCCAGGTATTTCTAGAAATCTGAACACTTCTACTACGCTGCAAAATGTGATAGCCTTCATAACCAAAACTGTGGCACGTTGCTTGCAACGCATGCTGCCTATTTGCATAAACATAACTGGCAAACGTTTTCATTCATTCGGTAAAGAAAAACTCGCACAAGCGTCGACGCGCGTTGGCTTACGAAACTTCTCATCATTCCGTAGCTAAAAATAGCCATACAATTTATAAAAATAACACTGAATGATTAGAGCAATTGATCATAGACAATCCTAAAAGGAAATGGAATTGGTATGTAAAGTGATGCTGTGCAGGAAAGCAACGTTCACTGTGAAGCCCCTACCCCTGCTGAAGGCTTGTGAGTATTATTATTATTAGTTTTTTTTATACCAGCTCCTGATTAAGCACTTTAAAAGTAGTCTTAATTTAAGAAAGCTTTACAAGGCAGTTCTGGCTAAGGGTGCGTTCTACAGAAAGGCGAGTGGCGCCGAGCGAAGCAAGGCGGAACAAAGCGAAGCTGCTGGTGTTCACACTGAGCGAAGCGAAGCGGAACTTTTCTCATGGACTCTTTTGCAAAGATACCACAAAACTTACCGTCAAAGAAAAGCGGCAGAAATATTTGGTCAATTTTACTCAAAAGATTCATTGTAAAACTCGTTTTTATTTGAATATTTTGATATCTTGTTTGCAGCAGCGTCATAAAACATAAAAATTAAATAGACAATTTTAAAATCAAAAACTTCTTTGTTTTCAGCTCCAAAACGCTTGCTGTATGAACACTTTCATATAGCTACAGCAACTTGAAAGCTTCACTCAGCTCGAAACGGCTACGCTCGGCTCGGCTCCGCATTCTGTGTGAACGTACCCTAAAGAATTACCCTATTAGGATGAGGGCATCGCATGGGCATTTAATTTCCTGCCGGGATATGTCTTTTGCGGTGGCATTTCCCCCGAGGGTGGATTTTCTTTATGTTCAAGATTTGCAAAGCTAATCGATTTAATAGCGTAGTGGTTCCAACTGTAAAAGCTGTCTTATGAATTTAATTGTGGAAATAGGCAAAATAAATATTGCATAACCGTTGTTTGTTGTTGTGCTACACGAATAGCGCACCAACAAATTTGGGATGTGGTAAACTTCTTAGTAACAAAACAAAAACAGTTAAACACTCATCTAATAAGAGGTAAAGTTTTTTGGATCACAAGGACGAATAAGTATTGAAAATGCGCTTTTAATAAATTTTATCTTTTTAAGTTAATAAAGTTTGCAGGACGAAATTCGTCGTGCGTATATTAGTTCTAAAACAATAATTTTCTCAAAAATATATATTGCAAATTTTCAAGGATATTTAAGGACAACATTTGTAAAGGATATTTTCCACGCCCATTCGTCCTTATACACAAAAAAATTTATTCTGTTATAATTTTTTTTTGTTTTATATGATATACTTGTTGTTATCCTACATTGCACCGAATTTTTTAAATCATTTTTTGAAATAATCATATTTTTTAAATTTCGTTTTACTATAATTTACCCAAAGCATCGCGAATATAGTCCTTTTTTCGTGTGTGTAAAATTACCTGTCGCACGGTGTAATGATATGCTGCCAAGAAAAATGCTAACTTCACTGGTGCATATGTATACATACATATCGTCGTTTAAAGTACAACACCGCGTATCAACAAAATGCAAAATCGCGCATGTGAGGTTGCCGAAATTATTTTCTAGAGAGTTAAAAGCACCCATATTTAAAAATGGTTCCCTTTTTTATAAAGCAATCGCATTTCTGGCTAGTATATTTCAGAATTCAGGATTGAGCCAAGAGCTTTTTTTTGGCAAAAAAATTTCAGTTACGCGGTTTTGCAGAAGGACGCAACGCGCTTTTGCGGTTTTGTACTTTAAACGACGATATGTAGCTGCGCGCATATGTGTATTGAGCACGGTTTATCAGCACGTTTGTTCAACACGGGTCAAAATACTGTTGATGACAGTTACATTTTTGCGCAGAATTTTTTCACTAACGCCGTAATTCATTTCTCCTGGATTCTTCTGTTAAATATAGCTCAACAAATGTGCCACTTACGAAATTAAATATGGAATGGAGCTAAAAACCTGAAATAATCTAAAATGGACCAAAATAGTTAAAAACAAAAAACTAACAATAGCTTCTAAAACCAGTAAGTCAGTTGCTCAGGGCGTTTTTGAACGAAAGGATGAGCCCTACATAGAATATTTGAATTATCCGCTTTCCCGTTAACAAGGACGAATAAGTATTGAAAATGCGATTTTAATAAGTTTTATCTTTTTAAGTTAATAAAACTTGCAGGACGAGATTCGTCGTGCGTATGTTAGTTCTCAAACAATAATTTTTCCAAAAATATATATTGAAAATTTTCAAGGATATTTAAGGACAAAATTTGTAAAGGATATTTTCCACACCCATTCGCCCTTATGCACAAAATTCTTCTTCAATCTTCTTTTTCTACTTCAATGGCTGTAAAACAGATATCTTATTCATCTTTGCTCGTGGATTAAAAAACTCCTGTTAAGCAGCGTGAAACTTCGTCTATTCGTCTATTACTTAAATAAATAGTAGCATCAAACTGCCGGAAAAATGATGAGACGAGACTAAGACGCTTCTATGTAACAGTAAGTATATAAGAGGTATCTTCACAAAAACATTATAAGCGTAAAAACACAGAAACACTGTATGCCATATTGTACTTTCTGCTGGTAGAACTACGTGCCAAACTGGTCGCAAGCGGTGCGGAATCAAGTGGTCAAATACTAGTTAAGCATTAACGCTGCTGCTTTTCCAAAGGAAGAGCCACCAACATTCTCCCGCACTCACCTACTCGCTCACAAGCTCACGCATTTACATATGTACATATGTTAGTCAGATTTAATTTAACAATTAAATTGATTTTAAATTCCTAAAGTGCTGGCAATGATCGTCGAAAATATTTACGAATGTCTCTCGTTTTGTAGCCATATTAAATTTTTTACTTAAATTGATATTTAAGTTCATTTAAATTTTTCGAACGGGCGGCAACCTTGCACAGATTTGACGTGCGTATCGTCAAAAAAAAATTATTTAATTTAACTTGTCAATTAAATTGATTTTGCATTTCTAAGCAGGTAGCAACCCCCTTTAAAAATATTTGCGAAAGCTTTCTTAAACCTCTATTATTTGGTGCTCACCTTCAAATATTTTTTTAATTTCTTTCTTTAATTGATTGTAACTTTTTGTACATGTGGCAACTCCCTTAAGTAATACTGTCAAAATCGATCATTTTTGAAGACCTTTCGTTTGTCAGACACATCGTTGTGGTATTTTATTTAGCTTTTAAATTAATTGACTTTTACATTTTTATTAGGTGGCAACCCCCTTAAAAAATGTTTTCGAAACAAATAGTTTTGTAACTCTCTTCTTTAATACCCAATTGATGTAATAGTTTATTTAGCTTTTTAATTAATTGATGTCATCTTTTAAAAAAGGTGGCAACTCCCTTCATTAAATATTACATATGTTATTCCAGGCTACAACCTATATCTGTGCCAAATATCATAGAAATATATATATATCACTCACTCATTAACAAACTTACACATTTATTAGTTAGTTTTTTTTTTCTTCATCTTCTATCGGCTCAACTATCTTTTATTAAGTAAGATTTTGAAAGACTATCTAATTTCGGCGTGTAAGAAAAGGAAAATTTTTAAACAATGCTCACCATTGTAAGTTTAACGTGAGAAAATCAAAACAAAACAAAACAATCACACAAACAACTCTGAGTACATCACACGAACGCACGCCAACGTCAGAAGTCATTCGCCCAATGGAAACTCACACAATGTGCATACGAGTTTGAAAACTTTTCGCGAATCTTGATATCAATAAATGTTTAGAGCGTAGCATAAATTCCAAAATGACGCACGAAACTCACGTGCACTCACAGGACAAAACAAAATACAGTGCAATTAAGCGAAGGTATGGCACAGCGACAAAGCCACAGCTAAACAAAGCTGCACTAAGAAATAGCAGCGCCAGCAAAAGTCACGTTGCTAACACTTACACCTCTGGCCAAAGCGCAATCCTTTCTTCAGCAGCGCCTTGTGCATTGACAGCGCCAGCGACGAGTGTGTCTGCTGGAGTGTAAGAAAGCAATCGCTGTTGAATAATTGCTTGAATAGAGTGTGAAGTGCATGCAAAGCTGCGAGTTCACACTTCCGCCTGGTCGCGTGTAAATACAGAAACGTTTCGCCGCTGCGCTCTGTGCAAAGTGTGCTGGACGGTCACATTTAGCCGCTCCAAAGCTGCTGGACATCACGCTAAGCACGCGTCTTTGGCAGCTGTCAAACGTATGTGACTTTGGGCACTGGTGGTGGGCTTGGCATTGTATGCATTTCAGGCCGCTGGCACTTTGAAGATACATACATACATACATTATGCGCGCAATGTGAGCTATGGGAAAATTTTAGCCAAGAAGCTTTCAACAACAAACGTATGCAAATGCAACTATGCTTAGATGCTTAGAGTTTCCGCACACGATGCAAAACGAGACCAGCGGACGACGACGACGACGATGATGAGGCACACAACCGCATACACTCGGAGAGCGCAAAGTTCACGAACACTTGTTGCTACTGTTGACAAAGCTCGCAAAATCACACACTTCACACTTCGTTTGTGCACAGCTCACGCGTACGAATACTTTCGAAACTTTCTATGTTACAGTTATGTGCCTTATGCTGCGCTGTTGTTGTTGCCTCTAGCAGTGGCGAAGGTTGCATACGACGCAAGTAAGCTTCGCATTGGCCCTCGTAACGATGTTGCGGTAATGAGGACGACGAATGCGTCCCTGACTCAGCACGGCTATAAAAGCGCCAGCGATTGCTGGTAGCAGACATATGTTCGTCGCGCTTCAGAGCTGAAATATCTCAGTGAAAATTGCGGAATACTTATACAGGAAGTAAAAGCAAATACCGTTGATATTTGAAAAGCTAAGTGAACTTTTTTGAAATTTTGAAAAAAAAAAACATTTGAACATTTAAAGTGCAAGTGTCAGCAAGCAAGCTATAAAAGTGAATTGCATATTTTGCAAACAAAAAGACAGTTTGAAAGAACTCTTAAAGAAAATATTTTGCAAAAAAAACAAATTTTTCGCAAAAAAGCGTGTCCAACTAACAGAGAACAAAGTGTTTTTGAAAAAGCCAACAAATCGGCTCAAAGAACTCTTGCATTAATAATTGTGCGAAAATCACTAACTTACCAAAAGTTCAACAAACAAAACGCCAAACACAAAAATGGATAACTCAACGCCGCAAAATTGCAGCAATCAGCAAACGACATGCTGCTCCAAGTCAGCATCAGTTTCAACTTCGAAAAACACTACAACCTCACCCATACACGACGATCACAAACCCTCTTCCTACTCATCATCTGCATCGTCCTCCAGCGACAGCAAAATGCCCAAATTCAAAACCGCACGCGATCTGAAAACATCGCGCGGTTTCCTCAGCTGTATCGGCAAGCATTTAGGCTGTCCTTTCCTCCAACAAACTTCACGACAAGCAACGCAACAACAGCGTCATCCGTACATCTACAACAGTCAGGATGATTTGCCCAGCTCCTCGACCGATTCATTCTCCCTGAGCTATGAGCGCGCTTCGCATTTGGGCTTCCACTTGACGGGCTCAAACATCGACTTAACCCACAGAGCCGCCGATAATCTGGCGCATCAGTCGAGCGTGCAGCCCAAACAGCACACACACCGCCAGCAACATTCTCAGCACGCTTCACGCAATACACTCTCCTCATCGGCGTACAGCGGCTCATCTTATTCGCCTGCATTCTGCTCATTCGATGTTGATTGTTTGGTGGATGCCTACAATGGCGATGGCGATGATGAAGCGGATGTCTGCGCCTCGCTAAAAATGTACCATCACCAGCATCACACATCCGATGCCCATGTGGCGCATAGTTGCAGCAGCTCAGAACACAACACCGATACGAATAGCAGCGATGAGGATGATGAATGTTCCACGCATGAAGAATGTTGCGAGCAACAGCAAAAGCGCAAAAATAAACATGAACAACTGCAGCACCACCAGCAGCAGCAGCACCACCAACACCAGCATCAACATCAGCAAAAGCAGTCCACCTCAACGCATAGACGTCTACATTTGAGCCGCCTCTCAATCGCTTCGTCAGTGACACGCATGCTAAACCATTTCGCCAGCAGCACGTCGATGAGGTCGTTGTCGTGCAGCAGCACACCGCTACGCTGTTTCAAGGATGCCAAGCCGAAGGAAGCTGATGACGTAGTGCATTTGAATGGCAGAAATAAGAATGAGGCCAAGAAGCATAGCTTGCCGAATACGTCGTCTGCATCGTCGAGCGGCAGCAGGAGTAGCAGCAGTGGCAACAGCAGCAGCGGTAGTGGCAGCGGCAGTGGCAGCGGCAGCGGCGGTAGTAGCAATCGTTCGATGAGCAGTAACAATAACAACCGCGCCAACAGCAGCAGCAGCAACAGCAGCAGCAGCACAGCTAATGGCAAGAAGAAGGAGAAGAAGCAGCAGAGCATCTTGCGTCCACCAGTGCACTACGTCTACATGAAGGGCATGTCCGGCCTGTATTCGCGTGTGCCGCGCTACACTGTCTGCTCGCCCTATGCAATGCATTAAATCGATGACAGGCGGCAGGCGGTGCGCCGAGCACGTTAGCGTAGGATAAGAAACAAATTTGAAATTTGAAGAAACTGAACACAGACGTATCGCAAAAGAGGCTGATTAACTAAGTATTGTAGTCATAGACAGAATAAGCTTCGGAGAAGCCGTTTATTTTTCCACGTAGACAGCAAAAGACTTGTAATTAAAAATTCATTAAGTATTCGAAATACACGTACTAAGTATATTTATTGTAGTCACAAAATAGTAGCAGTAAGTTTTTAGGCGTAAGCAGGCAGTTGTTTAGGTTCGAATTAAGGAAGTAAAAAAAGAGAAAATAATAATTGGAAATCGTAGTGCCTCGAGTTAATGATATGAAAGGTTATCGAATAAGATTAAATGTATTTATGTGAGTCTAACTGAAACAGGCAGTGAAATGCGAAAAAATGCAAAACTAAAAAAAAAAATCTAAAAAAAGACAAAATTGGAATGTATGGAACAATTAATTTCCGAGCGAAAAAAAAACAGATTCACTGAATGAAAACAAAATACCAAAAAAAATTCTAAAAATACAAAAAAAAATATAAAAAAAATACAAACAATTGGTAGAAAATTTAAAAAATAAGCACTACTAGTAACACCATTGTAATAGTTTAACTAAATTAAATGTAAAACTTTGCAACTTTCTTCCATTCAAAATTGCATTTTTTCTAAAAGAAAGCGATATATTTAACTAAATGAAAATGCGAAAGTCATTCAAAAAAAAAGCACTGAAAAGTTCAAAGTATTTCTTCCAAAATGACAAGGAAAAGTATTCAACTATCAAATAGTTTAAAAGCGAGCTGTATTTAGCTAAAAAATTGAGATTATAATTGACACATGAAAAAATTAATAAAAAAAAAAATAAATAAATAAAAATGTAATAGCATAAGTATATTAAGTAAGAAAATCTATTTTTTTTGTGTTGTATGACACATCTTTTTTAAATAAAAACTGAATTTTTGAAAACATACTCACTGCACTATACTTTCCAATTCGCTTGCAAGAATATTGCATACATTTAGGGTGATAGAAAAAATTATTACTCCGTAGATTATTCGTTAATTTTTTGATTTTATTTATTTCTGATTTTTTATTACTTTATTTATCGAGTTAACAATTTTTATTTTTGTTGTCTACTCATAGGCGTATAGAAAACCAAAACATGAAAAAAATTTGTCTGTATTGGCTCTTAGGATAACAAGGACATTTTTCTTTTGGTATGCTTTCAGCCTTTTGTGTATTTTTTTTTTCTTTTTTCACAATCCTAAAAGTATGCACTTGCCTTAATGAGCTTTCAAGAAACGCAGCACTACTTCACACTTCGGCAAAGTTAAAAATTTACAAGCTTATCAAAAGCAAATTATTCTGCTAAAATACAAGCATACATACTTACACACCTATAAAAACGGCTTTTATAAAAGGCGTATCCTTAATTTGAGCCTTTAATGTTCTAACACTAAACTCTTTCTCAAGCCAAGGTAAAACAAAAGTAATTAAAGGAGTGCTAAACAAAGAAAGTTTATATAATAAAATAAAATTAATAAAGCAAAGAATATTAGTTAAATTAAAAAAAATATTTACTATTTTTAAATTTCTATCAATATACAAAAATTCTAAAATGATTTAATAATATTTTTTAATTTTTGTTATCTTTTCTACTTTTAAAAATTATCAAGTCTGCAAAATACAGAAAACCAGAGTTGGCTAGTAAATTTCTTTAAAATGTATAAAATTTCTGAATAAAATTTTTATTTTTTTCAGAATTCTAAAAATATGTATTCAATTTTCAAATTTCCACCGCTTCAAATTAGTTTAAAAGCTAAAAACAAATTCAGCGAAATCTTGCAAATTAAATAACTTATAAAAAAATCTGAATTTCTGAAAAATATTTAAATTCTAAATTTCTCAAAAAATTTAAATATCTTTTTTGAAAATTTTTGAATATAACTTTCTTCAATTTCCTTTTAGGACATTATTCAAATATTATAATTTTTTTTTACAAATACATAACATCAAATCTGGACCAATCATAAAGTTCAATTTTTCAAAAATTAAGTTTAAACTGAAACTCCGCATCTTAATTCAAACATAAATAAACGATTTGAAAAGTTTAAAAATGTCTGATTTTGTAAGTTAGCAAAAAGTTTTCGTTTGGCACTTAAAAAAATACAATTCCGCGAAGGCTACGAATAGTAATTAATTTTGGCTAAAGTCTGAAAATATTTAAAATTTTTTCAAACCTTTTACAAAAAAAATTTTCGGAGTTGTAACAAAATAATCCAAATATTTAAAATTTCAAACTAGACATCTTCTTTGCGAAAAAAATTAGTTTTAAAAGTTTCTGAGCAAGAATTTTTCAAATTATTCAAATTAATATGAACTCTCTCTTAAAAAACATCGAATTCCCACTAATTATACAACTTTAATTTTCATAAACGAATTAAAAGTTTTCAAACTCGATTTTTTTTCATCGTAACTAAAAGATTCAAAGGCTTACCAATTCCTGATTTTATAATTGAATAAAAAAATATAGAAAAATTACTAGAAAAATTATTCTACAATTTATTTCAAAATTGAATACCTTCTCTAATAAAAATTGTGAAATATCATTTAAAGGATTTTCTTTAGAGATTATTTGATAGTAGAAAAAATTTTGATTAGTAAATTAAAAATATGCCAGTTTTTTATTTTTTTTTTTTATCAAAGCATGTTAAGCTTGACAAGAGAACGAATTTAGTATTTTATCAAAGCTATACTTCACATAAAAGCTAAAAATGTATGATGCCAATATTGAAATTTATCAAAGCAAACTTAAAAAGATTTCAAAAATTTAGAATGATTTAAAAATAAATCGAAAGCTAAATAGAGAGCAAAAATGCAAAAATAAATAAAAAAAAATTAAGCATAGGATTTAAAGAAAAAATTAAAAAAATTCTATGAAATATGAAAAAACCTACTTATGTACATTGGTCTAATATGAAAACAAAAACAACAACAAGGCTGTCAAACAGTGGTATACGTGGTGTTTCTAAACAAACTCGTTAACTTATTTGTTATTATAAGCTTTGTCGATATGTAAGCTCTTATTTAATACTTAAGTAAAAGAGTGTGTATAATAAAAAAATATATATATTTACAAGTTTAGCTTAATTTTCAACTGAATGTGTAGCTGATGATATTTATTAATAAAACTTAGAAAATTCTATTAGAAAATCTCTCGTAAAACTACTTGTTTTCATTACATTTCCCAGCTGACTTTGCACCACAGCTTGCCACATGCTTGTTGCTACTAAAAAAGCTCATAGCAGCTGATTTTCCGAAACCCGCTAATTTGGCGCGGGAGTGCAAAGAGCACAGCGTTCCTTTGACATGCTCGGAAATCCTTCAACGCGCATCGGCTAGGGCGCACAACTCTGCTGTAACAACCGAAAGCTGTACTCCCGCTTTTCTTTCGCTAAAATTGCACTCTCCAATTTCGCTCACTCACGCGCTAACTCTGCGCATGCGCCATAAACATTTGAAATTTGTTGTGGGAACACTTGCCATCGTACCCGAGTACACTTCACATTTGGCACGTCATCGACAAGTACTACAACAACAACAACATAGCAGATATCTGACGACACACCTTCTACCATACAGTGTTGCAAATAAGTATGATACTCAACAAATGCAATGCACTTCTGAAGGACTCCTTGTTGACCTTATTTACCTATTTTTTTTTTCGATCGAACTTAGCCAAGTTAACGGCAAATGACGACAAACATTTCCTTGCTAACGGAATGCCAATGATTCGAAAGTGCTGCGGTTGGCAAAGCATTTGAATATTATCCGGCAGATACACACAACAGCAAGGGACAAAAAAAAATAAGTTCAAAAATCAAAATTAGAAGGTTTTCACATAGTTGCTGTTGTATGTATGTATGTATGTATGTATAGGTGGTGAAGGCAATGCAATGTTTATACAGTTTGCTGCCGGTTGAGGCTGAAAATAGTAACTAAATAACCTTTGCGCGAATGCTGCTTAAAGTGACGGCCAATTCGGCATTCGTTTGAATACAGATAGTATGTACGTTCGTGATAACAATGCAGTTGATAAAACTCTGCCGAAAAAATCAAAACTTGAAACAACAAACCCGAAAAGCTTTTTTCGCCAAACTTAAATTCAGAAACTGACAATAGGGAAAAGACCGAATCTAGAAAAATGTATGACAAACAAAAAAGTAAGCAAGAAGTACAAAAAGTGCTCCACCGTCTCATTCTCTTCAAGGCAGGATGGACAAATGGATTTGTCATTTGCCACGTGGACTGAACAGTCAGCAGTCAGCAACAAGTTGCATGCAGTCCCGTCTATCCATGGGAGCAAAAAACTAAATAGGCCTTCCGAGATTCAAGGCAACATCAGTTTTGCCTTAAGTGCAGCTTTACTGTCCCTGCAGACACATAAACTCATTGCTTTCCTCCACCTATTTTCCACCATGTAGTCCATGGCTTTGAGGATTGCATATCCCC